TGAAAAGTAGTTATAAGTCACTTCTTTCAGTGCCTCTTGAAAAAGCATATTTGGGACAACAATGACCTGGATGACTGAGAATCTCCATAGACGAGATCAATAGTCACCATTTAAAGACCGAAAAGCAAAATACCTTTTCCCATACACAGGTATTTCTTGACTTACAACAGTTCATTTAGTGATTATTCGAAGTTACAACGGCACTGAAAGAAGTGACTTATAACTACTTTTCATACTTAACAATTTTTACAGCATTCCAGGGTCACGTGATCACATTTTTTTGACTTTCTGACAAGCAAAGTCAGGGAAGCTAAATTCACTTAACAACCATATTACTAACTTAAGAACTGCAGTGATTCACTTAACAACTGTGCAAGGAGGGTCATACAATGAGGCACAATTCTTTTAACAACAGTCTCATTTATTATCATAAATTTTGGGCTCAATTGTGGTTGTAGGTCGAGGACTACCTGTACTTCATAGATCAAAACTAAATATAGAATTGATGTCAAGTAAAAAGAGAACAATTGGTTGGGAAGTTTAGTTTCTAGCTTGTTGGCTTTAAAATTCTTTTTGGTACTTCTTTTAGGTGCCCTATAACATAGGTGGTTGGCTTGAGAAAAACAAAGACCCTCTCAATGAAACCGTGGTGGGTATTTTTCAAAAATCTTCCAACAAACTTCTGGCCAGCCTATTTGAAAATTATGTCAGTGCTGACAGTGGTAAGTGAAATAACCTTATATTTTATTTCTTGCATCACATATAGAAAATGTGGCTAATAAATATATTAGCTTATGACCTTGGAATATTTGGCAGTGGCAAATGTTAGGCACATAAATATCTCTCTGGGGAGCAGAGTAAGAATCAATAATTCAAATTGTTGGTACCTCATTAAGTCTGTTTTCTGGCTCTGGTTGAATGATAATGATAAAGCAGATATTAAAGAGTACATTTCACAACTAAATATTGCCTATTAGGGCAGGAGCAGAAGCAGTGAGTTGGAATTAAAAGGAAGGAATTTCAGCGATATTTCCTCAACATATGCACTTTCAGTTAGAGGAGTAGGCTTCCACATGATTGGCTAATTCTCCTTCATTATAATCTTCAAATAAATACTGGATCTCAGAGATGCTCTAGTTCAGGGTGTCAAACTTAACGCTCCTGGGCCGGATTCAGCCTGCGAAGTGCTTAAATCTTGCCCACGGATTTAACGGGCCTGAAAATAATAAAGGACTGGGCCACAGTGTCTTTGGAAGTCAAAATGGGACATGCACCCCTGTTTTGGCTGGCAGAGTGCTGCAGGAGGATGTCTCTTTCAGGGTTGAAATGAGAGGTTTGCTCACCCCACTCCTATCACTTATGATATTACTAGATTGGGTAATAAAATGTTTGCAAGAAAACAATCAAGCTTAGACAGCATCAAGGAACACACACAAACACACACACATACATACACACAGAGAGAAAGAGTTTTGAAGAATGAACAATCTTCAAAATGTACATTCATATTTCTATAATGCAAAATCATCCATACAAAAGTGATATTTTGTAGTTCAGAGATATAAATCCTGTAGGTGTAGACATGTACTGTTGCAAACAAATTGGATGCAGACTTTTGTGTTATATAGGCAATTTTTTATATGAAAGAACAAAATAATATATATTTACTAACACAGAACTTGCATATACACACACACACAAATGTATCTATCTATCTATCTATCTATCTATCTATCTATCTATCTATCTATCTATCTATCTATCNGCAGTTGGATACAGCATAGAAAGTTTCTCTTCTGTGGCATCACTTTTTGTAGATTTATATCCTAAGGGGAATTAAATGCCATGGAACAATGTAGCACAGTGGAATTGGAAGACGGGAAGAGTGGAAAAAATGTTTTTAGCAAAAAGAGAAGCTAGCATTTTGAAAAGGCTGGCATTTGAAGTGGAAATGTTTTGAATCTCCTTTTTGCACTAGAAATGTATATCTTAGAATTCAGCAAATAAGAATCAGGATACGACTTGTAGTACACTTTATGCCTACTTCTTCTCACCTTTATATTGATAAAATTCATGCAATATAATGTATAATAAACACTTGGATAGGCAAGCCAGAAATATACAACCTTGTGTGACAAAGCACACTTAACATTTTTGAGTAGGGCTGGAGTTTGGTGTAGAATGTCAAGTTTTTTTTAAAAATAGGAGATTGACAGTTACAATGTTAATGGGTTGTGGGAAGGTTTTTTTTAACCTCAAAGTGACATCACTGAGCTTTTATTTTTCAGCAAAAGTGTATGAAAAAGGCTCCAAGGACTGCAAAAAAGAGAGTTGTGCACACAAAAATACTGATTTATTAATATGTTAAACTAAAACCAGGCCAGCCACTTTGTGGTTTAGTATCTTCTATGCATCAGACCATTTTTTTTTTTCATCTTCAAAAATATTAGGAAAAAAAAATCCTTTTAAAGAGGGTTAGTAGTCTAGTACAGAAGTATGCAGTATTTTGATCCAAAGTGGGCAAAACAGCTTTCATTCTGCCATTCACTCCTTAACTTTACCTGTTAGAAATAACTCCAAGAGATGCTTCTACCATGCAGATGTTAGATTCAAGAAAATACTTGATTAAGTCAGAATGATGTTATGAATGAAGTGAAGCATGCAGCAGCACTGCATTACTTTGGCCTCTCCATTTTCATTTGGAAAGAAAGAGATTGCCGATGTGGATCAAGAACTCACACATTGGAAGGTGGTGTTTATGGAGATGCTCCCTGAATATTAAGGGCTCAATCACCAAAAAGTTACTGTAGCTGAGGAGGGGGGGAACAAACCAGGATGAAAGCTAATATTTGGTTAATCAAATAAATCAGGTAAACTTAATTAATGTGAAAAATGTCAAGCTGAAAATTAATATTTTATGGCAATTTGGGAAGATCTGAAGTCCACAGGCTCTACCATTTGGAGATACAAATAGCACAGCCCTCATTATGCTGAATTAAGTGTAACTTAGTGTAGAACATCTTTGTTATTAATTGAATGAGAGGAAATGAAAGGCTGGGAAGCCAGGCAGAAGAATGGCAAAATGAGTATTCTGGAGGTATGATGTGTTACTAAGTTCAATTATCCCAAACGTGCTTTTTCAAGAGGCAACTGGACTTTTTTGTTTTTGTTTTTGAAGATGTTTACCTTCTCAACCAAGAAGCTTCTTCAGCTCTGATGGGATGATGGGAAATGGAAGGATTTCTACTCCTTGCAGACAGCTAGTTATTTGCATTCTTTTAGTGAGTCATTAAGGTCACTTGGAGGTTTTTCTGTGTCATTAGGGTCATCTGAGTGGTACAAATGAGTGTGGAGCCTTCTTGGAACTGTTGAAATGACTGTGTTGTAGTCTGGGGATAGATGATGTTGTAGCATTCCCCCTCTATTGATATAGGCTGTTCAATTTTGAGATAGATGGCCTCTTTAACCCCTCTTTCAAAGCTCAATATGGCCTCAATGACTCTATAAAAGAATGTGAATAACCAGCTGTTTGCAAGGAATATAAATCCACCATCCAATCAAAACTGAAGAAGCTTCAACGAAAAGCCAGAAAGTCCAGTTGCCTCTTGAAAAAGCATATTTGGGACAACAATGACCTGGATGACTGAGAATCTCCATAGACGAGATCAATAGTCA